GTGGAACATTCAAGGTTCTACTTCTGTAGGAAAACATAAACAGAAGTTACTAAAACCTGAATAATCAAAATAGGGAAAAAAAAGCAAGCTCAGGATAGGGGTAACTGGGGAAGCTCGGGAGAGCCTCCAGGGCTGCTAGTTCTGGAAGAAGCATAAGCTGCACTCTAGGTCCGAAATCATGTAGGGTAGCTTTTCCAGCCGAATTAAGTAGGGACAAAGGGAATTCTTCAAAGAGGCAGGATTCCAGCCAAAACTTTCAAGCCTGAAGTAGCCTTCTAATTGAAATGATATTAAGTGCCTCCCCAAGGACAAAATAAACTTTGCAAACCTGTTGAGAACGGGGAATGCCAGAGAGAAGACCAGCAGACTGTGAGTCAGGGCAAAGGGAAACGCAAGGCTATGAATCTGGCAGCGAGAACGCCTGTACCAGTGCCGTACACCCTGCTGACAGGAAGGACTGGAAGCTGTGTTCCTAGAGAGCCCACATTTCCTTTAGTGCCAATGCGCCAAGAGTAAAGGAACAGGAGGTAAAATAAAATGTTTAGAAAGCTTAAACAGGTACTTTGTACTTAAAGACTTTGAATGAAATCCCCAATAACAAGAGAAACCCTAGGTACTGCGGTGACACCTCTGTAAGAGTCTACACTTTGCAAGAGGAAAGGGATGTCTGACACGACATTCTCTCAAGAAACATTTGTCTTCTTGTTACGTTTCTCTAAATATCCCCTTTCCCAGAAAACTTGTTGCTTTTTCCCCTGAATGCAAACAGCAATGTGGGTTGGGAACAACTTTTTACAATGAAAATCATGAGGATTATTTTCGTTCAGAACCATGAAAACACATTTACCCGGACTTGACTGTGGATCACTGTGTGGTGTTGGGATGGACTCAGGTGGGGGATTGGAAAAGCTTCACGAGTGACTGATGCTTTCTACTTCTGTTTATAAAGCCTTTGTCAAGACTGCAATAGTTATTTTTTCCTAAGTATGCAGCTTTTGCTTGAAAAGGGTTGGCATGGGCAGGAATCAGTACTTTGACTGCTATTGCTATCTCCCCAGGGGCCTACAGTATAGAATTTAAGCATGTGGACTTCCAGGCTACACAAGTTCATTATCCTGATTCCTCAGCCTAGTAAATATGTTTACTTAGGGTAAATTATTTTCAAGCCTCAGTTTCCTTATCAACAACACAGAGACTGTGGTTATTCTCAATTTCTAAAATCATGAGGATTAAGTTAGTGTACACGAAGTTACTGTTCACTAAAGTTTAGCTGTAACTATCTTACTTGGCCCTGGGGAATTGTTTTCTAAATGTGGTAGGAATGCCATGCAGAGCTATAATATTCTAACATGTTTGGTAGACCCTCAGGAGTTTTGAAAATGTAAGTCAACTGAGATTTCTGTGAAGAACTAGAAAAAGGTGCATCAGTCCTAGAAGAAGGTACTTTAGTCTGCAAGGGCCACAGTGCAAGCACATGAATGGAACTCTTTCCACAGCCCCAAAAAGAAAGTACGAAATATACTTCAGTAATATTTAGGAATGTTAACTTTTCCATAGCAACAAAGGTAAGGGAGAGCCAATTTCTTGGCATTCCTGGGTGATTTGGTTTGTGGTGTTTTCTCTCTTTTCCTTAAATTACTGGGTTGGTGTGATTTGGGTTGCGCTGCTCTCCTGATGTGATGTGTCTGGTGTCTGTAGCTGAAACAGAGGTGAACCTAGTTTGACAAGGAAACTGGAAGACGGCATGTCTTTTCAGACTGTGTGGCACTGAGATCAATTTAACATTGGTGCTGTCCTGACTCATTTTGGCTTTTGTGGAAGGGGGCGGGAAAGTATGAGGGGATATCAACGAGGCCTCCATAACATGCATGAGTCTCTGACCCTCCCTTCCCCTGCTCCCTGTTGCACTCATTAAGAACTATACCGGGCATGGCCACCTGAACATGCAGGGGGGACTTCTCTGCACTTGGTTCATCTTTTCCCTGACACAGCCAGAGCACCTTTAGATCTGTCGGAGATGGGTGCCTTAGAAAACATCACTGCGCATCCTCTATGTACCAGATGCTGCATCCGGCACAGCCGTACATACCAGCCACACTCTCCTTCAAACAGCCCCTTTTACACAGAAGACATTGATGTCAGAATTCTTGAGCCTTGCCTAGGGCAGCTGCTTTCAAGTGTCAAAACAAGGATTCTGAAGCCTCCACACACCCCAGACACCTTTCCTTTTAGCACAAAAACAGGCAAACCAGAGTAGTGAAAAGATTTTAGAAAGCATATTCTACTAATCCTTTTATTTCTGAGAAATCTTAGACTCCAAGAAGTTAAATGATTTGCCTCAGGCACAGAGTCAGTGAGAAGCTGACTGGGAAGAGAATCTGATCTCTTCACTTTTAGAAGTCTCAGTATGTCTCAAAACCTGGTGAGGCATGGATGGGCCCTGAGACCCATTGGAAAGAACTGTCTGTTGTGGCAACCACTGCAATTCACTGCTGGGGAGCTTTATTTACATCTGCCTTAGATAGGATATAGCCAGGGACTCTTGGGACCCTTCATGTTCAGTTTCCAGGCAGTTGGAAAATTCATTTAAGAGCTCATTTATCCCACAGAGCTAGAAATTAAAACTAAAGGGAAATAGAAAGAAAAGAAAATCCAGCTGCCAACATCAGGCTAATGGCAAGCATAAAACTCATGTGCTTAAGAGAATAATTTGGTAAGATTATTAAAAGACTGTATAGATATATTTTTAAATGTGGTTTTATATTTTTTATCTTTTAGAACTTATGACAGTTTTAAAGGTCTCACCTCAAATCAAGTCCCTCTCTTCACAACAAGGAGGGTGCTAATTTACAAAATTATATTTTTATTTTTGATTTAATCTTTATTGTATTTTTTTCCATTTGAAGCCTTGGGGAACAAAATTCTCCTTATTGAGCATCCCTATTACAGCTGGAAATCTATTTTAGTGCAATCCTGTGAAAATATTCATGAATATTTATCAGAGGCATTTGCATGGAATCCTCATCAAAAGCACTTACAGAAAAGCCAGGATCAATAAATGAACTACTTTTCCAGAATCAAATCATTCACTGGGTAGTAGTGAATTTACACCTATGCATTCTACAGCCTTTGACATCTGTAAAAGAAAATACTGATGAACAGACTGATTCGTAACACAAGCTCTGAGGTAAAATAGTTATAAAAATTAGCCCTGGCTGGTGTAGCTCAGTGGATTGAGCTCGGGCTGGGAACCAAAGTGTCCCAGGTTCGATTCCCAGCCAGGGTACATGTCTGGGTTGCAGGCTATAACCCCCAGCAACCGCACATTGATGTTTCTCTCTCTCTCTCTATCTCCCTCCCTTCCCTCTCTAAAAATAAATAAATAAAATTTAAAAAGTTATAAAAATCAAAACAAAATTTTAATGTATACTCTTAAATACTTTCTAATGTATTCACAAAATGCTCAATAATAAAAATACCTGATAAAATAGATAGGTAGATAGATAGATAGAGAGATGATAGATGAAGAAAAATACAAGTTTAAGATTCACACTCTCCAGAAAGTGCTTATAGACATCAGTAAAAATGGCTGGTAGAAAAGACCTTACTGGATTATATGGATCTAAGAAAAACTCATGTTAATACAAAGCATATGATAACGATTTATGAGTAATGCATGAGTCATTATCAAGCAATAGTGAAAGCATGTTTAAGAGTATCACAATATCTACTATTTAATGTTAATATGTGGCTTTAAAGATAGGAGAGTATATTTTGTGAAGAAGCTGTTTTCTTGAATGGTTAAACTGTGGAAGGTTTTACCACATGAAAGGCTGAAAACTCTGCACATACCTGCCACTCAATTCTGTGTGCATGACAATGGTTCTTTGAGCATTTCATAGCGATTATGCAAATCAAACCTTAACTTAAAATATCACCATTACGATAATTTTACAAACTATTTTGGTTTAATTAGGATTCCGGCTGAAAAAAAAAACAATATATCAGCTTAGAAACCATGATCCACGACTTACCCGTCCTCCCCTTCACTAGTCACCAGTCAAAAATGATTTGAATGTATAATTGAAAGAGGAATTTAGACACATGGCTAAAACAACTTTTTTGCTTTAATCAGAAAAATATCACAGCATCTTCGTATTGTTTGTCATCTTATATTTAACGTTCTTTAAAATAAATAAGTCTTTAAAATATCTAGCTGGGGGGAAACGAGGGAGGTAAATAATGAATCTTGTTTTTTCGTTTAGAGTTCTGCCTAAAACACACATGCATACAGCACAGAGCAGATAATTTTCCAGAACTCCAACACCAGACCCTAACTTTGACCAAGGGCTGAAATGTTGTTGGAAATTCTTGGAGGTTTGGCAGAAGACAGGTGAAACGTGGCATTGTTTGGAAACCCTATCTCATCCACAAAGGTGGCTAAAAAATCTCTCCTAGTGGCTTCACGGAGGGCCCTGTGGTGTCCCAGAACGGGGTAAGAAACAACAGTTGAGCTTTGCTGGCAAGTGGAAACGCACAAGATGCAGCCTCACGTACACAAACATAAACAAAGCTTAGAATGAAGAAAACAGTTTGCAAAACCCTTGCTAGGATCAATCATGCTTCACAAGGAGATTCAACAAAGTTACAAAACAGCACCAGAAAGGGTATTTGGATAACTTTATGGTGAAGAAAGCGTCCCCTGGTCCGCCCCCGGTCCCTCCCCGGGTCCCAGCTCCGCGAGCCTGGAAGGAGAAATCCACCCGTGGTCCACAGAGCCTGGGCGTTAAGACCCCCAAGCGCTCGGTTGGTGATTAAAGCCACACCCTCCTGGACTGTGAGTCCACAAAGGGTGCTCGAAGAATTTAGGAAAGGCTTGGGAAAAGGTCGAAAGAGTAAAATCGCAAAATCCGCAGTAACAGTTCCGAGTCGTTAACAGGAATCATCACAGCCAGAGGCAGGCGATGGGGACCCCAGTCCAGCCAGACCTGCACCCCTACCTGCACACCGCGAAACCACCGAGACCCGCAGATGTTGGTAACCAGAAGCGCCCACCTTGGGCTTCAGCAACAGGTTCTACCCCGAGGGGCTCAAGCCTCCAGCCGGAGGCGTCTGCCGGAGGGCTGGGTGTTCGTTGCCCTCTCAGGGCTCTGCCAGCTGCTTGCTCATCCTAGTTCCCTCTCAGACCAAACGTCACTCCCCAGGGGGCACCAGCCAGCTGTTGAGATTCTGAAGAAGCTATTCACATCCTGATAAGGGGCATCCGGATACCTTCCTGTGAAATTCAGAATCTCTGAGTGCAGCGAAGAAAAGAAAGCATCACTATGACTAATCGCATCATTGGTTGCCTGGGTCCTGGCTTTGAGGGAATGATTCAACCACACTGTGCCTCAGTTTCCTAGTTTATAAAACAGAGATGATGAGACTAGTAGCTGAATAATCTGAAAATTAAATGAGTATGTAAGTGCAAAATGCCTGGAATAGTGCCTGGTACATACTAAGTATTTAATAAATGCAAACTACTGTTTTAAGATTCTTTGGGGAATGAGGAATGAGAACTATAGGACTCCAAATACCTCCAAATACCCTCTCCAGGGCCTTCTCTGAAGTGGACTGTGATCTGTCTTTGCAAAGATCTTTTAGCTTGCACAAAAACCTCTCTGGCATTCTGCAAATGTAAATTCACATCATAATTAGAAGGGGAAAGAACAGAGCCAGAGGAAAATGCTTAGTGATTCTAACAAGAAAATCTGCTTAGCTGGAAGTTGCTAATAGAGAGATCATGCCTGAAATTGAATGTATTAACTTTGAGGTTTATGCAATTACTGAGAAGGGGATCATTAAAGGTACTTTAAGGTAGTAATGTGGCTAGGGTCCAGTGTGGGCAAAATCTTTGAATATGTTATCAGGTTCACGCAGTACATTAGGTTTGTCAAGCAACAGTGTATATTTTTTCCCAGTGTGCGCCAGGACATGAGGTTCACTGGCTTGTCCAAGATTACAGAGGTTTTAAGTAACAAGGCAGCCTCTGGAAGTTGAAATCAGTTGTCTCACTATTATATTTATCTGACTGAATCACTGGTAAATGGGGGATACAGGGAAAAGCTGATTGGAGATATTTAAAATAGGTTTCTGTAGTCTTGGATTAAAGTTGTAGATTCAGATGTGTATATTTAAATTGGAATATGACTATGTTGAGGATCTAGAAAGGATCTAGAAAGGGGTACATCTCCCAACAATTTGACAAGTTTAAGGTGGAGATACCAGTCCCACTTCTCTGAAGTTTATCAGGATACACAAGGCATAGAAAGTCATGGGGAAAAAAAAAAGACAAAGCAGATAAACACATCACTAATAGGAGGCAGGGCTGAGAATAATAAGTTAATTTACAGAAAAGAAAGACATTCTGAATTTAATCTGAGATCCTCAAATCAAAGTGTAAAAAATGATAATAATTGTGGAACACCACTCTGTAATCTATTCACTTTAATTGATTATGGAAATGAACAGTAATAATATCAATGCTTTTGACGAGACAATGAGGTAATGTCTAGCTTGCAAGAAATCTATTAAAAATAAAAGAAACATAACATTTGTCATATGATAATCATCAAGTTATGAGTTATTTGCTGTACCTTATAAAACAACACACCGTGAGAACTATTGTCCTGATTCTCCCCTATACCCTGGTCTCGTCAAAAATGCCATTTGATTTAGGTGTTATTTAAGGCTCAGTGCTGCACTCACTCCTCTTACAATGAACTCAGTTTCTACACATTCTCATCCACACCAGTGGCCTTACTTACCATGTATAAGGAGATCCAAACATTCATATTTCATCTAGACCTCTCTTCAGAGTTTCTGACTCTAACTTGACACTTCCAATTGCTGACTCTATGTCAACCTCAAAGTCAACACGTCTAAAACTAGAGTCATGGTCTTCTTCCTGAAACACAGTCCCTGGCTCAGTTATGGCGTTTCCATCTACCCTTCTCCCTGCTAATATAAATGTGGTAGAACCGGAAACACCATCCTGTGTGGTAGGTAGAAGCCACATTCTGAAAAGGGCAGAGAAAGCAGGGCCAAAGGAACCTGAATCCTTGACTGCTCTGGAAAACACCCTTTCTAGTTCTTACTCATCTGCCTTTGACTTCTTTTACAAGTGACAGGAATGGAAGTTCATCTTTTAGAAAAGGATATACGTATTTATACATCATTACCTACCATTTGGTATATTCTTCACATAAGTATAAAGTCAGTGTAACTAGATATAAATGGACAGAGGATATTAATATACATTAAAAAGAAAAATAAGAATTAAATTTTAAAATAGTTTGCCGACACGCCATTTAAAATTACCATGTATTCTACCAAGAATAGCTCCCCCCTGTACCCCACCTTTGGAAATACTTCTTACACAATATGAGAATAGACTGATATATTGTGGTGCAAAGGAAGGATCAAACATTGCTGACCACATGGCAATTTGGGAGAACAGGTCCAAGAAGGCACAGCTCTAAAGAGAAGAAGAATCTGGCCCCTAGAAAGAAAAAAATATGAACCAAGTGACTAGTGGGAAGGTAATATAAGGGAAAGCAGATAGCCAAGAGCATAACCATAACTGTAGTATTTTTGATTCAATATTTTCTGATTCAAATTTTTTATATAATAGGTTTTTTAAGTTTATTTACTTATTTTTAGAGAGAAGGGAATGGAAGAAGAGAGGGAGAGAAAGATCAGTGTGTGGTTGCCTCTCAAGCATCCCCCACTGGGGACCTGACCTGCATCCCAGACATATACCCTGACTGGGAGTTGAACCAGCAACCCTTTGGTTTATAGGCCAACACTCAATTCACTGAGCTACACCAGCCAGGGCTATATAATATGTTTTTGATGGGTAAAAATCCCCAGATTGATTTTTTAAAAATTTGTGTCTATGATAACAAAGACTTACATTTATGTTAAGAAAAAACTAAAGGTAAAGGACAGATAAATTCACATAATTAGAATTAGAATAAGTAAAGAAATGGACTTGCTAATAATCAGAAAGATGCATATTAAGACAACATTCAAATACAACTGTCCCACTTAAATAGCAAGAATATGTACTTGTCAGGTTGTTATGAAAGTAGCATATTTAATGCAATCCTCTTAAAAAAACAGTTTGACAATATGCGTAAATGACAATAAAAGATGTTTATAGACTTAGACTTAGTAAACTAATTCCTGGAAATATATCCATCAAAAATATTTCAAAAGAAATTAATACTACAATCAGAAAGTTATTTCTTTGTATTAACTACACAGTGGAAAACCAGAAGCACTCTGGAATATAAATTCAATGGAATTCAACAAAAAAAGTTTGAATTATGTACCAACATGGAGAAAAGAGTATAGAATAATAAGTGAAATAAATTAAATATAATATTTTGGGTAAATGGGGGTATTTCTATGTAAAAATGAATTTTGATGAATAATGTCTACATGAACGTCTAAAGTATAAAATCTATCATTCTATAGTAGTGTTTGTAAAGTTAAAAAATAAAATGTTCTTTAATTAAACAAAACACCAGAATGGAAGTCAGGAGTCCTAGAATTTGGCTCAGTTTTGTCAGTTTAGTTCTTCATGAGTTTCGGGGGGTTTTATATATGGTATGAAGGGATTCAACTACTGTTCTTCAAGTTCTAAGAGCCTGTGAATCTAACTCCCAATTCAATCTAGTTACCTAGCTCTCTAGCAACCCCGGGAAGAAAGCTGTCTACTTTGCTCTCCAAATTAGCCTATCTCTTTGTCTTTCTAAAAGTCTGTTTCATTCATTCAACTTAATTTGTTGACTCTCTACCATTAATAAGGTCGTCATGTGATAGTACTTTGGAGGAATGGGGGAAAGTGGGTAGAGCTTATTTAGATAAATACATAAAATATTGTTCCTAACTCAGGAAAACTTCCTTTTTAGCCTGTTATGGAGGAGCAACACACAAGGTAAACATGTAACCAGAAAAGAGAAAAGATTATCACAGATGGAAGCATCAACGTTATGGCATCTGTGCTAGGTCTCAAAGAAGAAGTACCATTTGGACATGTGGAGATGGGACTGGAGTGGATTAGGTACTTTAGATAAAGGCAGCAGCATGAGCAAAGCATGAAGCTAGGGAACTCTGAGGGATGTGTGGAAATGGTTCTTTGCTTGTCTGTATGAGAGCAGCACAGGCTGTGTGAGAAAGCAGGGAGAACTGGACTCAGTACAACCAGGCCCACCCTGTCTTGTAGCAGTCTGCACAACTGCACACAGAAGAAATGGGAGGGGCTTTTTCAGTGGCTTGTCATAAGCCTTAGAAGGTGTTCTATGTTTGGGGCTCAACACAGGCAGAATGACATGGGGGTGGGGGCGGATAAAGCCTCCATGATGGAGTGAGGTAGCCAAACAAATGAGTCCAAAGCTTTATTCCTCATTCCCCTAAAGCTGTGTGTAAAATGCAGTGGAAACAAACAAACCCATGTTGTTATGCATCCACCTGTCTTCTTCCTTCATTACATTGGTCCTGATTTAATCACCTTTGAAAACTTAGCATTTAGAATGATTATTGACCATAAAGCAGGTACTGCACACATTGATGAGGCAAATAAATGCTTTAAGAAGTCAGGACAGGAGAGATGGATATAAAGTCAGCACATGGTTATTTTGATAAAAGTGACATTTGTTCTAAAAACAACTGAGCATCATAGTTAAGGGCATAACTCGGAAGCAACACTACCCAAATTTGAATCTTAATTCCGTGTGTATTACTTTTGTTAATAATAGTCATGTTACTTCTCTGTTATTTGGTTTCCTTATCTGTACAATAGGAATACTAGTATTTGCAACCGTTAAATAAGTTAGCATGTTTAATGTATAATGATGTCTGGTACATCAGAAGCTCAAACATTAGGTATTAATTTCCTGACTGATCATAATTGGCTTTAGTCACAAGGTAGATATTAGTCACAAGTTTCACTTTCTCTCTCCCAAGATTGTATCTCTCTTTACTGAGCATCTAAGAGAAAATAGGTTATACACTTAACAATGAATGATGCTCTTCACCACCAGCTCTGAGGAAAATACAATTTAGGCTACTTTCATTTAGATG